GAAAACGACAGAGCAGTGACTCACACAAGAGCCAGCTGAGCCTTTTTCGAGAGCGAATTCTTTGCACAACTGTCTGTACCCGGTTCTGCTGGCGATACAATTGCAGACCAGATACAACAGTGTCACTTTTGGCACTCTCAGTGCTAGGTTCTTGGCCAGTAAACAATGGTGGGAGCTCGGGTAAAAAATCGATTCCTGCCAAATGCTGAGCCCACTTATAAGGTCGGGAAACTCTGTTTTCATCAAATGCTGGACCATCACCAACAAGGAGCTTTGCTGACTGCATTTATAACCAGAAAATTTTTATCACGGAATAGAAAATCAAACAATAAGATGCAAGTTAGGAGAGGAGATATGGGTATAAAGGAAAGGAAATGTATACACATTCCATACCTGATGAGGAAGCTCAACACCCATGTCATCAGGAAACAAGTTGCATAATATATCGTTTTCAGATCCTTCAATTGCAACACATACAACATTCAACTTTGACATGTATTCGAACCTCAAAGTGATGAGTTTTACAGACTTGGGATCATACGCCTCATCATCAAATATGTGAAGGAGGACCTTAAGTGGGTGAACTTGATATACTCTTGACTGATCGATACCCTCCTTGCTTGAAATCCTTTTTGGACGTTTTCTCCTTCTCTGGCCATCATCTTCTTCATCAGGTGCATCATCCTCCAATCTGGAGCTCTCTACACTGGAAGATAGGCCTGGACCAAAGAAAAGGCCTTCGTTGGTTAGTTTTGAAATTATATCATGCAGTGGTCAATGAAGTGAAACATTAAATACCACAGAACCTGAGTTAAATTCCAAGACAAGTTGATGGATTAAAGTACTCAAGATCAAGAAAGAAACGGTAACTTGAATGACTAACCCAAAACAATCTCATTGTCAACTAAACGTAGTCAATTGTCCTAACTTGATACTTACAACAACTGAATAGACAAGTTAATTGTGGATTGATTTTCCAGTAAAATGGTAAGGTTAGCATTGCTGGTGGCAAGATCTAGCTCTAACTCACCAGGATCCTTATTTGCTTGCTGGCGGGCTGAAGCTTGAGCATCCTTCAAACTCCCCACAATTTCCAGCTCAATATTTTCTCCAAATGCTTCTTTTTGTGCCAACAACTGTGAGTAGAGAACGTAGAGTGGAGGTGGAAGCAACTCAGTGGAATGGTGCTGCTTTAGTTTCTTAGTGTGCAGGAGGCCCAACTGGTTCTGTACTGGCAAGGATGCTTTCTTAAGAGACTTGAGGTGTGAAGGAAGAGTTGACAGGAACTTTTTCCGGCTTGCAATAGTTTCCAGCAGACTTTTCTTGTGTTGTTCCAATCTTGCACGAAGTTTACACAGTTCTTTGCGCTGAAAAATAAAAAGATTTTAAGTATTTCCATGTCCCAAGCTTTCTGTTTCAGCATATTAAAGAAAGGATGAGAAAAAACGATAACAAAACCAGTAGAACCAGAAATTGCTTTAATAACAACTCGACACTTAAAAAAGCTTGTGAAGAAAAAACTGAAATCCGAAGTTCATCCCTGGCATGTTCAACCCTCTTGTAGATGAAAAGAAAAAGGGACGCAAAGGGAGTGGTAAGTGCTTGCTAACAAGAGTTTCTCGAAAAGGGTAGGAAACCAGTGGTTAAAGAATGTTTCAGTTTCTATATTTGTTGAAGACAACTTAATCTATTATGCGGATCCCCGAAGTTTGGAGCATGCTCTTTTTCGTTTTTGTCTACAACAAAAAAGCATCTCGTACGTTAGAACTATCATGAGTGCCAAAATTCAAAAGCTTCCATCTTGTATTGCCACTTCGTTTGTCCCAAAGTATCCTTGTCATGAAAAAGTAGAATTTTGCAAAACAAGTACAGAGCTTCCAAAGAAAAAGAAAAAAAAAAAATCGATGAAATTGACCAGCTACCTGGTAGAGCTCATAATTAAGCCTCTTTAGCATCAGATCATGCGAAATGTCACTGGACAGCTTTTGCCCTTTAATATCTTCAGGTGCATCCCGCAAAAATTCTTCTTCAGGCACAAGTTCGATATCAGGATACTTCGATTTGAAATCTTTGCAAGCCTTTATAGCTTTAACATAGTGACTCTTCTCATACATTAAATTATGAAGCTGCAGAGTCGTGAGATCAACAGGCGCTTTTGCACGCTCTGTTTCTGCCTTAACACGGTCCTCCTGTAGCAAAATCGACCGATTCGCCTGCAACAGAATCATTGAGGTATAAAAATGCACCAACATTCCAATAATTCCAGAAACCTAAGTTTTCAATAATAGCGGGTGGAAAAACCTAGGGTAGAGAGAGATAGTAATGCTACCTGACGTAGATTAACGAAATTAAGGAACATTTGCGTAAGGATTTCTTTGAGCTCGGATTTGGGTTTGCCCTCTTTCTTCATAGCAAGCATTTTGGCCACAATCTTTTCGACTGAAGCTTTGCTATCTCGAAGCATATCATATGCCGATTTCTCTATCTTTGGCGGTGGAGGCGCTACCTGCTCATCATCTTCTATCACCATCCCTTCCTCTATCTCGTCGTCTTCCATTATCTCCGTTCCTCTCCGCACTCAGCTTCGTCTCGCTGTGCGTGGAAAGGACAAGAAGGGTTATTGAAAGTTCACATTTTAGACAGCGTTACAAAACGGTGTCGTGTCTATTTCGCTTGCTTTGCCGCCTGGCCAGCTTTGAGTCACTGTGTAAAACGACATCGTTTTCCTTCGGTCGTTTTGGTGATCCTTGATATAGTGGCTGCAGACAGAGGTGGAGTCTGTTGCTTAATGTTGACCTAAATTTGAAGAGATCAATGGGGACGGTTGAACTGGAAAGCGAAGCTCCTGCTATCAAGAAACTGGGCTCCCTCTTCAAGCTCACTGAAGTACACTTATGGTAACCTTCCTTCTATATATCATTAGTCACCTTTTCGTTTCCTTAGTAAGACAGAGTTGAACGAATATTTAACGGAATCTATCTCATGAATTCAATCTTTAAAGCACCGAAGTTTATACAATCAAAATCTCTTCCTTTATCTGCTGTGCTTTGGTGGCTTAACAGGGATGATGGTTCAAAGGAAACGCTTGAAGTGTCGCGCTTCGCTGAACGCAATGTTAGTTTCCCTCTTTCAACACTCTCAACGGAGTATTTCCAGAATAGTTTGCTTTTATCTTGTATTTCCTCTCATTCACCCAAGTTCTTTTGTATAATACAGAAACTACCAGATGACGGTGATTGTGTAACTTCAGACATCGTTTTTCCAGATATTGGCAAGTATTCCAGTTGTTTTTGCTTCATCTTTTACCACTTGATGCTTGCCTGGCATTTTAGAAATACATTTTTGCTTACGATATTCTAAGGCTTGCTTACCTTCTTTTTGAGCTTAGATTGTCCTGAGGATATGGAATTGATAAGAGAGATGGATGAGTTGGGGCTTCCTCGTTCATTTAACACTAACAAGGAGGTAAAAGTTGGATAATCTTTACTTATTACAGGTATTTATCTATTTAGGTTTCAAAAGGTTGCATAGTGAACTTTATTAATTGTTCGGAATGAGGTCGTTTTATGTTATTTGGTAGTTTATCCGCTTTAATTGTTGCTTTATCTATAATATTGGCATTATTGCAGAGAAGGAATGGAATTCGTCATGGAAAAAGGAAAGGCACGCGCTGGAAGCGGTATCATAATCACAAAGAAACACATGATAGACAAAAGGAATGCCCCAGAGTGAGTGAGGTGGGGATTGTATCTCCTTCCGTTTTTCATGATAAGAGCAATTCTTTTTGTTGCATGTCAATGCTGGGCCAAGGTGAATACTCTCGCTATAATGTTGCAGTGGATATCAATGAATTGCAATGCTGTACTCAGGAAGGAGAAGATTCAGCTGAGGCGGCTACGATTGCTTGCAGTATTGTGAAGGAACAAATCCCATATGGAATTTCTGATGATTTGTCCAATGATGGTCAGGTCATAACTCTCTTCCTTATGCTGATTTATACCCAAGGATGACAAGGATATTGATGTCAGGATTAATTCAGGGGCCGAGCTTTCTTGCAACCATGTTACAGAAGAACTTGACAGAAGTTCAGTCGATTCTGAATGCGTAAAAGGCTCCTTGATAGATTGCCATAATGAAGGGGGAAAAGTTTGCACTGAAAACAGTGCTGAGATGTCAACATTTCATGAAACAGTTTTACATGGTGGGAGTTCTGAACTTTCTGGTTATGATGACACTTGCAGCTATAACTGCTACGAGGGATGTGGAGATTGGAAGGTATTTTGGGATTCTTTCTACTTGAGAAACTACTTCTACAATGTTCAAACACAAGAATCTACATGGTACCTACCCCCAGGGATGGAACATCTTGCAGCCAGAGAGATTATTGATAAGTCAAATGGAACAATTGCAAAGGTTACCCAAATGGATGTCAGTGAAAATTCGTGTGCTACAATTTCTTGTCTCAATGAAAACTCTGCAGAAGTTTGTAATTTGTATGCTAAGCCCAAGTCGGCTGAGGTATTTGTAGATGATGACATACAAGTGGAGCAGCCACACGAGCTTTCAGAAAAAATTGGACTTGACACTAACAACTCTGTCCCTGAAGGGAGTATGCCTATTTTAAGCAGTCACTTGGAGCTGCCAGATGAACTTAATGGGATCAATATAAATCAAACTGATGAAGCTTTCTTAAGCATAGTGTCAGATGACCTGGAGCATATTGACTGGTATTTTTTCCTTATTCCAGTACCTATGTGAAGTAACCTGCACCAGTCTTTGTTTAGGTCTCTTTTGCAATGTTTTTATCATGGTAGACTGAGTTTCATTGTTCAATTAACTTTGTTATATCTGGGGGAAAGGGTGAACCAATTTGGTGCTTATGAGGTCTGCTGCAGTGTTTTCAGTGGATACCGATAGATAGGAACTACTAGATTCTTTTCTGCACACAAATGGATTTGTCATCAAATTACTTAATAATAGTTAAGATTAGTACATGATACATATTTCCTTGTCTAGATGTATCCAGTTCAGCTTATCTGTGTGATCCCTCAGAAGCTGGGAAAACTTGGATTTTGACACTGTCTTGCTTGCAGCTTGTCCCATACATCGTATGAGGCTATTTCTGAGGTCAATGGTCATGCGGAAGATCAGTTGGTTGCAAATTGCGACTCTCCTATGATGGAAGGGAAAAAGAAGACAAGAAGATCACGAGTACGAAGTAAATTATCTAACATCAGGAAAGGTTGAATTTTTTCCATTTGATTATCATCATAGTCAATTAACAATTTGATGATTTAATTTCTCATAATAAATTAGCCTCTCTATGCAGAGCTTCAGCTGGAAGGGATTCTTGAGGAATATCCAGCCAGTATTGGCAAATACTGGGCCCAGAGATACCTTTTATTCTCCAGATTTGATGATGGTATAAGAATGGATGAGGAAGGATGGTTTTCTGTCACTCCTGAGCCGATAGCGCAGCATCATGCTTCCCGTTGTAGGGGTGGCATCATAATTGACTCTTTTACAGGTGTTGGTGGAAATGCAATTCAATTTGCACAGAGGTTAGTTCCCACTGTCATTTTTTTTTTAAAGTATAGTTCCCACTGTCATATGACAGTGCTGTGCCAATCTTCACTTTTATGGTTTATTTATGATATGCTGCGGACCTTTGAGGTAAATATTTTTGTATATAGGTCGCAACGATTGGTGCTTACTTAATACACATTTTCTTTTCTTCTCGGAAAAAACATGTTGCTGCTCTTTCAGATTATTAGGCCAAATACCATTAGCAGTAATCAGTTGATAGTAATGGTTTCTTGTAGTAATGCACTCTTGGTAACTTGGACGAGCACCATAATATGTTAATGCCTTATTGGCTTTGATGGCTGAATGTAATTTTTTAAAGCATTTTAGTTGAAAGTATAGCTACTTAATCTCTAAGACATGCTGAGGATCAGTATTATATTTAATTTTTGTTTTTCCTCTTAAAAATTATTGATGGATGATGTAGTAAAGTTTATTCATTTTCCACTCACTATGGATTTAATATTGTGATATTTCAAGAGAAAGCATGTTATTGCTGTTGATATTGATCCAAAGAAGATTGATTATGCATGTCACAATGCTGCCATATATGGAGTTCGTGATCGTATAGATTTCTTGAAGGAGACTTCTTCCTGTTGGCTTGTAGTTAAGGTATTGACGCAGCTTACACTTAGATATTAGTTAATTACTTTCTGAAAAGGAGATTGTTACTTGACTTTACGAATAGTACTGATTTTT